TTGCACAAAAACCGCTTGGAACCTTTGAAATAAGGCTACATACAAGAATAAGCTCCATGTTTGTTTAAAAAGAGAGTTTCCGTCAGCGAATCGCTTCTGAATTGCAACAAAATCGATCTAATTCTAAACGTAATAGCAGTCTTTGTAATAATATTATATTAGTCTTACGACAATGTCAGCAGAAAATACTCGAGGTCTCAGCTCGGTGAGCTGACGCACACGGTGGCTAAGCCAGAATTTACTATCAAGTCGGTTTTGCTATGGTTGTTGGGATTGCCAGCGAGTCATGTATTATGAGCTAAACCCAATAAAATCTTATTTTGAAGCTGCACTGTTAACGAATAGACCGTCTGGAGGAAGCAATCGCCAAGAAGCTTCCAGCTTTGGCCAATAGGAACGGCAGGCCCTTACGACAACGGCAGGCTACACATATCGATTTTGAGGTGCCAGAAGCTCAGAGAGTTTAGTTATGAGGTTCTTATGCATTTACCTTAGAGTCTGGACCTGGCATCAAGTGACTAATATCTTTACCGTTCACCTGTGAAAAGTTTATCCAAATCAGCTGTCCCAGTTTGTTTTTTTTTTTTTGTCAAAACTAACGAGGGTTAACGGCGCGGGCCGATGAATTGCCCACCGAGCTATTCAAATACGGCTACGAAAAACTGATAAAAAGCACGCATGGTTTTTTGTAGAATATGGTCGAACGAAAACATGACGATTGAAATTTAATTGTGCTCTGCGCAAACTACAAAAGGGGAGACCCCCAAATCTGCGCCAACTAGCATGGGATAAGCCAGCCTCCTCAACAACGTATATAAGGGATATAGGAGGATATTGTGTGAAAGACTAAAGCTCACCGTCGAGAAACTGATGGAATCTTATCAGTGTGGCCTTAGGTATGGAAAGAAATGACCAGATATTCACCATACGTCAAATCCTGAAAAAAACGTGAAAAAATCGACACACCTCTTCCTCGATTTCAAAGTTAGGCAATGGAAAATAAAGTCTTCTCTCGACGAACAAACGCCCATTTCTACCAGTCACTCATCATTCCCGTCCGCTGTGGAGGAATGGACAATGACATCGTCTGATCAGGCGGCCTTAAAAGTGTTCAAGAGAAAGATTCTATGGAAGATGTATGGTTCTTTGCGTATCGGCAGCCTCGGAACACCGCAGCCTATAGAACGATAAACAGTACGAAATATATGGCGACATTGACGGTAGTTCAGGTAATCAAGGTACAATGGCTGCGTTGGCTCGGTCAAATTGTCCGGAAGAAAGAGATATATGGATAACTAAATGATTAGCGTGACGAGTTGAGCCTGTATACCGCTCTGGAATTTTGCACACGTTCTTTGACTCCCAAAAAGCTACTCATTTTTCGGAACCGCCCGTATCGGACCACTAGAGCATATAGCTGTAATACAAACAGAATGATCGGAATCAAGCACTTGTATGGAAAACTTTTTCATGCCTATTTCCGGAAAATTTTTTCCTCACTATATCCATCATAACTATCGCGTCTTATACTGGGACCCTATTCTGTATCTCGATTCGTAAATGTATTCAATTCGAAATTCGGATCTACTTTATAATTATGCGAAAGTTTTACCACCCTGTGCCAGTATAAATACGTACAATTTTTGTTTTTGCTTTCTGCAACTCAAAAGCTAACGAATATTTTATTCGAAAATTGGCTTGAAAATCCGAAAATCGAAATACAGAATATAAAATATCCGAATTCAAGTAAATTTTTTTTCGAATTGAGTTACGGAATAGGACCCCTGAATCCATTCTTGTAAAGAATCAGTTCCATTCCAAAATAATAAAAAAAAAACAGAAAAGCACGTTTTTGGTCACATTTTTTTTTGGAATAATTTTACGTTTATTGATAAAATAACCAGTTGACTTGAGTCGTTTATATGACTATAAACGAATTATAGAAACGTCAATGACACATATTCAATTAAATTTTTATTTTTAATAATATTATTATTATTCATTGTTGCTGTAAATAAATTTGCAGTTACATACAATTCACCATCAAAACAAAAAAATGTCTACATATGTATGTGCACTTGTGCGATGATATTTAGTTTTTAAGTTTTACTTTTGGTCTTAGTTTTTTCGTTTACTTCTGCTCAATAAATTGTAATTTCATTTATTCGATGTATATTCTTTTTTTTATCAATTAATAATTGATATTATTACATATGTTTGTGTTCGTATGTATGTTTGTATAGAATTCATGGTGCATTATTGTGAATGCTGCAATAGTAAAAGGACGAGTCATTTAAAAAATATATATTTTGCAGTTAATAAAACTTCTGCTGCTTCTTATTCTTCTTCGTAATTTTTGCTTATGTATTTTTCAAATAGTAGAAAGTTAGTAGCAAATCTGACAATAAATATAATTAGTACATGAATACAAAGTGTTAGTGTTTGAGTTTAAAATTTCAAGGGCTTGAGCTGTGTAGCAAAAAACTTCAATCTGCTTCATCAATCGTTAGTAATTCAGATTTTCTCTCGTAAGAATTGCAGTCTGCTTTATGTTATTATTTTTCTGCATGAGAATATCTAAAATTTTTCCTATTTGAAAAGTTCAATTGTGTAGGTGTGTGTGTGTAGTAGTAGTTAATAAAAAGCCACTGACATGTCAACATTCGATATATTTAGTATACATACATACATTTACTCAATCTTTTTGGTGCTTAAGAACTAGATATCAGTTTACATGTAAATAAATTTTCAATTACAACACTCGCTGCTTTTTGCACTTACTTTTTTATTATTTATTTATTTATTTATTCAATGTATTCTTTATTATTATATAGTTAAATATGTGTGTATAGTAATATTTATTTTTGTAAAATGTATATTTCTATGCATAAACGTACATACAAATACAAAGACTTGACTTTGTATGCGATAAATAGTGTTTGCCCTCTGTAAATATACAGTTGGCGATATTAATATGCGCTCGAAATGGACGTGTGTGTATGCAAGTTATAGGCAATTGCATTATTTCTTTATTATAAAAGACAAAGGTTGTTAAATAGCATATCTTAATGCGTTCAGTAGGTTTATCATGTAACTTTGTCAATGCCTTCAACACTTCTGCTGGTCAAAAAGCGGTTTGTGTAAAACAATTCCAAATTAGAATGAGTGACAACTCTTATTCAGTTATTGAAGGTTGTGAAGACATTAAATATTCTGCAAAACCAGGCAATGACATTTTTGAGATTAGTAAATCACAACCTCAAATTCAATTTTTTGGGTATAAACTCAAATAATTTTAAATTAAATTAAATTTATTGGTCGTAAGTTTGAATTCTATCTTTGGGTTATAACCTCAAATTAATTTTTTTGGATATAACCCCAAAAAATAAAATTTTTTTTTGGTTCTAACCTCAATATGTTTTTTTGAACAAAACCTCAAATTCATCTTTTTCTTAATTATAACCTCAAATTCAAAACATTTTTCTAACTTTTTCTGCCATAATGCAACTGCGCATATTGATATTGCTAACTGTACTTAATAAATGTATATTTACGTATATCTTTTTTAAAACTTTACTCTCTAAGCTTAGTAATAAACACGTTTTTGTTCACGAAAATCGTTTCAAATTTCACCACATTTAATGCAAATATTTTCAAATATTATTATTATTTTTTTTCAAATGCTTATTAATAAAACTTCTACTACATAACGCTCATATTTAGCTTAGTACTTTACAAAAATGAAAACTTAACATGAAATTAACTTAAGAAGCTAATTGATAGAGACATGAAATGGAAGCCAATTATAATTATGTATCATAAATTTTGTAAAATAAGAATCACAAATTATTGTATTCAACAATTAAATTTAAAGCAATTAATGCACATACAAATGTAGGAATTCTTCTTCTTCTTCTTCTTTTTTTTTTTTTTTTTTTTTTTTTTTTTTTT